GTAATGCAGGAGGCTGGGGCCTGGGTCTAATCTGGCCCTGCGGCCTGCCAGCCTAGCCACCTGGGGCAGTTGAGCTGCCTCCCTGACCCTCAGTTTTCTTTCAACTACGTGGGCCTTGAGGGTCACATGACAAGTGCCAGGGCAGTCAGGGGTGGGGAGAGCCATCATGAAGCCTGGGGGCTCAGGGAGGGCCTGTGGCCAAGGACACAGGTGACCACGGTGCCTCTGTGCAGCTGGGGAGTGTCCTAGCTGCAGATGGGCAGCTCTGTCATCTGTGGCTCCCGGGAACGACGCCTGGGTTACAGAGGAGTCCTGCCTCTGCCCGTCTCCCCCTCTCCAGGCCTGTTTTCCCACCTGCACCCTGAGTGTGGGTCTCTGAGCCCGCGCTACTACTGAGCATGTGCAGAGTTGAGCTCATGACAGTGGCTCGGGGTCGCTCAGGGGTACTCCCCCCTCAGAGGAACTTGCATTTGAAACAACAAAACCACAGAATGCCTAAAATCCCAAGGAATAAAGGGAAAGGCCCCCGCAGCACCTCCCTGACAGCCCAGGTTCTGCAGCCAGACATTGCTCTGTGACCTTGAACTGTTAGTTCTGTGATCTTGACCCTCACCTCTCCGAGGCCTACTGTCTGTCTCCCCAGTAGGGACGATGACACCTACTTCACAGGTCACTGTGGGGGTCCAGGGCAATCCACAGGAGACCCCCAGGGCCCTCTTTGCTTTGGCAAGGGGCAGCTGTGCTTAGGCACCTGCCAGGCCCTGCTCCCACAACCGACTGACCCGGCATCCAGAGGGCACCGGGCATCCAGAGGGCTCGGCCTCGAGGCCTGCCAGCAGCTGGGGTTGGCGGGAGAGATGCCTCCCCAGTGTGGCTGTGCAGATGTGCCAGGGTCAGGGCGCTGGGGCGGGGGTGCAGGCAGGAGGGTGAGCATTCTGTTCCCACCGCGGTGGCAGCATGTCCAGGGGATAAGGCTGCCCAAGGCCGAGGTCGGGCTGGGCCTGCAGCTCACCAGGGCCAGGAGGGGGCTGTGGCGGGTGGCGGGCTCCCGAGTGCTCACGCTGCTCCTCCACTCCCCCAGACATGTCCGGGAAAGGCTCCGTGGTCCTGGCCTACAGTGGCGGCCTGGACACCTCTTGCATCCTTGTGTGGCTGAAGGAGCAAGGCTACGACGTCATCGCCTACCTGGTGAGGAGCGCCTGTCTGTCTTCCTGCGCCTGCGTCCCTGTCCCAGCCACGCTGCCCTCTACCTCTCTGCCCAGGGAGGCTCCCTGGCTGCCTCCCCTGGCCCAGCCGGCCTCAGAACTGGGGAAACAGCCTCTCCACAGGCAGAGGGGCTGTGGGTTTGGATGTGGGACATGGTCCTCCCCTCCCCAGAGTCACCACCAGCCTCCAGTAATCACATTATAGAACCCAGAGTAGGAGGGGCCTGGGGGTTCCTTGTTGAGGATTCTAGTCCTACGTAGTACAGCCTGAGAAACACCGAAGCAGAGCTTGTTCACATAACCGAGAAGTCCAGGGGATGGTGACTTCAGGTAAGGCTGGATCCAGGTGACTATCCAGATTTGTCTCCAACCTCACCTGTCTTCATTTCTGGCCTCTCCATGGGGAAAGCAAGTCTTCCCACAGGAACCATCCTAGCCTGGCTTTCCCAGAGAGTGACGGGCCCCAAGGGTCTTCTCATGGGTCCAGTTGTTGCCCACCACACATTAGTCACTATGGCTGTGTCTGGGGGACTAGGCCAGGGCCACAGGGAGTAGAAAATGGGATTGACTCCCCTCCACCCCCGTGGAAAGGGTCCCCCAGGAAAGAAGGTTCTGTTCCCAGAGAGTGGGGCTGGGCTGTGTGTGGCCAGGAGTGGCCTGTGCCCAGCTGTGAGCCCGATCTGTCCTTCCTGACTCAGGTGGGAGGAGGGAGGAGGGCAGCGCTGTGCTTGCAGCCAGCTGGTGAGTGACAGCCAGTGCCGAGTGGAGCCGGGAGCCGGGCGTGTTCCCCTCACAGAGGCCGCACTGGCCCAGACCCTGGACACTGCAGGGGGATTTGAAAGCTGAGTGGCCCCAGGCAAGCACCTGAGCTGGGCTCTGGGAAGATTCCAGAATGCAGAGAGCGGGGTTCAGGCAGGATCGGGGCATCAGGCCCAAGGCCAGCCCTGGTCTAGCAGGGCAGCGGGAAGCAGGGGTCGGGCTGGAATGAGCTCAGGAGTCACAGCCTGGTGTGGGGGGAACTGGGCCCGAGGCTCCAGCCAGGCAGCTGGCACTGCCCGGGAGCGACGGCTGAGGGCCCAGGTGGGCTCAGGGGGAGCCCTAGACTCCCTGTGCCCAGGGCAGCTCGCCAGCCTGGGACCTGGGCAGGGACTGCTTGGCACACCCACGGCCCAGCTCCAAGCACCCAGCCGCCTGCCCCTCCTCCTGTGTGACCTTGGCTGTCAGCGGAACCCCCCAGCTTGAGGGCCACTGGGTGTGGATAGTGCCTGTCCAGCTCAGCAGGGACTGGCCTCCCCCCGGCTCTCCCTGGCTCACTGGGCCTCTCTGCCTCTGCTCCCAGGCCAACATCGGCCAGAAGGAAGACTTCGAGGAGGCCAGGAAGAAGGCGCTGAAGCTCGGGGCCAAGAAGGTACCGGGAGGCGAGGCCGAGGCCGGCGGGGCATGACGGGAGGGCCAGCGTGGGTCGCCTGCCCAGGACTCCTGGCCCCTGCATCCCTCCAGTGTGCCCTCTGGTCTCCAGGAGTGTGAGGCCCAGCTCCGCTCAGGGGTCCCCAGCCGCTCTCACCCTCCTACCAACCTCCTGCCCGGCCATCTCTTCCCGTCCGTCCGTCTGCCATGTCTGCTTGGTTTCTCTGTCCACCCACCCACCCCCACCTGCCCACGCGTCCTCTCTCCGCCTCTTGCCCTCGGTGCCCGCTCCACTCTTACCCATTTGCAATGTTTTCTTCTCTTTTCTTGCATGGAGCTTTGGGGTTCACCCACCTGGTTCTCGCACCATCCCTGTGAATGTCACCACAGAAGAAAGACAAATGGCAGATGACTATCATCCTAGGAAGCATCATGTCCACTCAGTCTCCCTGAAGGGGTCTTGGGGCCCCAGGTGTGCCTTCTCAGCCCGGCACTGTTCCCAGTCCCAGGGACTGGCCATGCTGTGCATTGTGGGATGTTTAGTGACATCTCTGGTCTTTACATTCAGAAAACTCCCCTAACCTGGCAACTGTGATGACCAGAAATATCTCCAGATGTGGCCAAGTGTCCCTGGGGAACAGAGCCACCCCGTTGTTTACTGCTATAGATCTTAAGTGGCACTAAGTTCCACCTCAGGGAGGATTTAGGAGCCACGTCCAGTTTCAGCTAGGTGGTGTGGGATCGGCTAGCAGTGTCCACCTTGGGTGCAGGAGGGAGAGTTTGTTGGATCCACTGGTGATGTCTGCTGTGCTGTGGGGCTGGGGGCAGGATCGGGGACAGAGATACCAGCCGCTGGCCTGGCCCTTGCCGAGGCCCCTCTCACGGCCCCTGCCCCTCAGGTGTTCATTGAGGACGTCAGCAGGGAGTTCGTGGAGGAGTTCATCTGGCCTGCCGTCCAGTCCAGCGCGCTCTACGAGGACCGCTACCTCCTGGGCACGTCGCTGGCCAGGCCCTGCATAGCCCGCAAGCAGGTGGAGATCGCCCAGCGCGAGGGAGCCAAGTACGTGTCCCACGGCGCCACAGGCAAGGTGAGGCCCGGACCCGGGAGGACGGGGCGAGGGAGGAGGCACCGAGGCCTGCCACAGCGACGCGGGCAGCCAGGGTGACGCTTGTCCAGTCTGTGCCCGGGTCAGCGTGCTGCGCGCGCAGTCCGGCTTTGTTAGGCCCCGTGAGGGCGGTTCTCCTGTGCAGAGGGAGGAGCCACGTCGTCCTCGCCCCACCCCATCCCCGGGTGGCAGACCCGATGTAGGCCTGGCTGAAGTTGCCGTGTCGTCACCAGGGGGCATGGGGCAGGGACAGGGACCCCGAGTGTGCAGAGGGGGTCAAACTCTGCAGAAACAAGAGTTCCCCCGGCCGGTGGCCGAGACTCGGAAACTGCTGTCTGGCAGCTCTGGAGGCTGAGGTCCAGGGTCCGGGGTCAGCAGGGCCTGCGCCTCTGCAGGTGCTGGGGAAGGGTCTGTCTGCCCACCCAGCTCCTGGCCTCGCTCCTTGGCTGGAGAAGTGTCATTGCCCCCCTCACTGTCACACTCATCACAGGGCCCCCCTTCAGCACATGCCTCATTCCTCCTTTAATCAGGACACCGACCTCATTGCATTAGGGCCACCCCAGTGACCTCCTCATAGATTGGTCACTTTCTGAGGTCCTGGGGTCAGGACTACCCTGGTCTCTAGGGAGGCCTGACTCATGCCCTCACACATGCACCTCCTCTGCCCGTGAGGCCCCAGGCAGCCTGCGGAGGACCCTGCGGCTAAGGCTGTCCCCAGAGCCAGGATCCCCAGCAGTGTTGGCAGGGGTCAGGGGACAGACTCTTGAGACACAAGCTCTCCCAGGCAGTGGGCGCCGAGGCCTGGCACGGGACTGGCTTTTTCACAGTCCGCAGGCGCCAATTCTCCCAGGGACGGGGAAGCAGGCCACGGCTCCCTGAGCTGCAGGGACACAGGCAACTAAGGTCACAGGTCACGATGGGGGAGACAGGACCTGAGCGCGGCCTTGCAAAGAGCCGCCCACCAGGATGGCACTGGCCGTCTTTGAAAGCTCAGGTGCGCCTTCTTTCTCTGTGGTGCCGGGCGTCTGTCAAGGGCTGAGTGCCCGTGGGCACGGGCGCAGGGAACCCCGTGGGCCTGTGGCCAGTCCTCGGGGGCCCATGTCCTAGCAAGGGAGAGGAGAGTGGACACGTGGTGAGGCGGCTGGGGGGACCGGGCTACAAAGCTTGGGCCTGAAGGTGCGTGCAAACCAGGGCATGGGAACAGTGTGCCAAGCAGAGGGACAGCCGAGACGAGAGGCCGGACCCGTGGTCTGCCTGGAATCAAGCAGCAGGGTCAGGGTTGAGCCGAGGCCATGCTAGGGGGTGGCTGTGTCCTGAGTGGCCTGGGTCGTGTGGAATGTCACACAGGCTTCATGGGGGTGGCCAGCAGTTCCCCAGAGGGATGCTGGGACGTGCTGGGCTGAATGGTGGGCAGCAGAGACGGAGAAGCGTTCCTGGCACACGAACACGCAGCCCTGTACCCCAGTTGGGGTGATAAGATGCTGGAAAACCAGCTGAGGAGGGGTGGGAAGCCCTGGGCTGTCTGGGCATGGACGTGTGCCTCTGCTGTGAGGCTGTGTGGCAGAGGGTGCAGGGGAGACCCGGAGGTTGGACTGGGGCTCAGGGCCTGCACAGCCAGGTTCAACCGAGTCCAGGCCCCGCGGCTCCCACAGTGTTCGACAGACCCCCCCGAGTTTCTGCTTCCTGATCTGTCAAATGAGGATGAAAATAGAGTCCAGCATGTGGGGTGCTGAGGAGCAGCGGTAGGGGGATCCCCAGGAGCCTGCAGGTGGGTCTGGGCGCCCAGAACACAGTGCAGGAGATGTCCTGATCCCAGGTAGCAGCCTGAGCTAGGCAAAGGAAGCCACTGAACCAGTGTCATTGCAGCATCTCACCTGCCCAGGTGAACCCATCAGGCAGTGGGTGCCCCATCCAGGGAGCATTCCAGCTGAGACCAGGGGATTGGGATTTTGGAAGGGGTCTTGCCCGGAGGAGGTCTCTCTGGTGGTACTGCCAGAATTCAGTTGAGCGACATCCATGTTAGCAAGTGGGTGAGTGCATGGGTTGGGGATGGGTCAGGCTCTGGTTTGAGCAGCTCCAGGGCCCAAGCCTAGATCCCCCACTCCAGAGGAGCCCACTAGCTGCTGGGAGCAGCTGCCCACATCTCTGTGTGCGGTGCCCCATGTGACCACCAGAGGGCGCCAGAGCCCGGGGCTTGGGGAAGTTGCTGGCGGCTGCAGAGGCCAGATCCACCCAGTGTTCTGTCCCCACTGGGGTCCAGCGGGGCTTGGTTCTGAAGAACGCCCTCTGCCCATGTTCTGTGGCTGCTTGGGAATTCAGGGGTGACCCTGAAGTTCACACTCAGGGACCACAGGAGGGACGGTCAAACCTGAAACGTCCCTGGGGGTTTCCAAGACTAGCTGTGGACAGGCCATCAGGACCACCCTCTCTTGGCTGGGGGGTGACAGCAAGGTGTCCTCCCCTGCCTCAGTGTCCCCTTATGTGTGGTACCTGGGAAGCCCCCGAAAGCCCCCGAAGACGGTCTCTGGGAACCGGGGTGCCCGTGGGGATCACTAGGAGGCTGAGGATGGGGCTCGTGCATGGGCGCGGCTCCTGCTTGGATGGTGGGCACCAGTGACCCTGCATCAGGAGGCAGGTGTCCCAAAAGGGTGGTCACATGAAGTCAACCAGAGGCCATGTGCAGGGCCTTGCGTGGCAGCCTGCAGGGCAACCCCAAGGCCTGTCCCCGGGCCGTGGCCAGCTCCACTCCTGGAGCAACCGCAGCTGCCCGGGCTCTGCTCTTCCCCTGGGGGGTGCGGGGAACCAGGACCCTGGGGCAGGCCTCGAGGCGCTTACTCACCCCGCAGGGGATCCACCTCTGCTCCACACACTAGGGATGTCAGTCAGAGGCCCTGGGGGACTTAGGGACAGGCATGCTGGTCCTGAGCCTGCAGGCCAGAGGCAGCTCCCTCCCAGGGCCAGGCCACACCCAGTGGAGAGTGGCGCCCTTTTCCTGCCCTTCTGTACCCTGCATTGAGCCGGCCGGATCCCCCTCCCAGAGAGCAGTGCAGAAGCCTGTGGACCCTGACTCCCAGCAGTTTGGGAAGAGGGGCCTGGAAACATGAGCCTAAGACTCTGGTGGGGGGCAGCTTCCTATATGGCACCATCTGTGGGGCGTCCCAGGGGCAGATGGGGACCCCGCACCCTCGGTCCCAGTGGGCACTGTGCTGTGGTACACGAGACCCGGACCCCCTTCTCCTGCTGCCAGGAGCTGCCCGGGGGCTGGGGGTCCTGGGGCTGGGGAGGGCCCTGAGTGGGCCCCGGGCTCTCGCTGGGACAGGCTTTGAACAAGGAAGCTGTTTGGATTCTTAGAGGTTCTCGGCTCCCCAACAGATGGGTGTCCCCTGGTGGCATCTGGGTCGGCAGACACCACTCAGCCGGGCCGGCTGGGGAGGTACAAGCCGTCTTTGTGTTGGGGAAACATGAAGCCGTGGAGAGAAAATAGCTGGTACCAGCAGCATCCGCTGTGTGCTTTACAAATTGAAAACGAATCTGCTTTGTACTGGAGCAGGGCTGGCCGTAGGCCCTGGGCAAGTGTTCCCCCTCCCCAGTGTCCCTGCCCAGAACCGACCTCAAGGGCAGCTGGAAGGATTCAGTGGACGTTCACATCTGTTGCTGAGTGTGAATTATGAGGGTGGGTGTTTGCTGTGTGGCTCTAGGTAGTCAGACTTACCTCTCTGAACTCCCCGCTCCTCGTCCATAAAATGGGGTTAAAATTCCCACTGGCCCCAAGTGGCTGCCTGTGTGGCAGGGCATAGTGGGTGCTCACTAGAGACGGGTGGAGGGTAGGGGGCCTGCTGGAGGCTCCAGCTTGGGTCCTGGGGCAGCAGAGGGGAGCAGACACAGCTCCACAGCCAAGAGGGGCTGGAACCTGGATTTCTGCGTCCCTTGATGAGGCTCTGGAAAATGACCTGTTATTCCCGCTGCTGCCTGGCTGCGCCATGCGGTTTTCACAGTAGGCACAAGGTCCCTCTGTCATTTCCACGGAGAGTAAGTCTCCTCGCCACTGAGCCCGTGCTGGAACAGGCGGGCGGGCGGCGGCTTCCCTGGGCTGCCGTGCAGCGCACCCGCACCCAGCCCTGACCCCCTCCTCCTCCTCCTGGTCATGAGCCTGGTGGCCCAGGAGCGAGCAGAGTGACTCTGCACTGGGCAGCAGAAGGGCAGGCTGGCCACCTGCAAGCTATGCTCTGTGGGCTCCTGTTCGTGCAGAGAGGTGCTAAGCAGGGAAGGCCCTCCCTGTCGCCTGGCCCCTCTCCTCGCTGACCAGCCACTGTACAGTTGGAAACAGGCCCGGGGAGGTGACAGGATTCCCCCCTTTATGGGTGAGGAGGAACTAGCACCAGGACAGGGTCAGGCAGCTCCGGGGCTGCCTGGAGAGGACCCCAGCCCTCAGGGCTTCTCACACCTGGAGTCTGGTCCGGGCCTCTGTCCCCAAGGGTCCTGTCCACTGCTGCATGCACACCCCTCCCCCCTCCGTGCCCCCAGAATCCCACACCCTGCACATACCCTCGTCTTGTGACCCCATACACGTGGCTACGTGTGCACATGTTCTACGTGCCAGACTGCAGCATGCAGCTCTGCACCCCGACAAGTGCACACCTGCGCCCCTTGCACGCTCACCCTGCACACAGGCCACGGCGCTCAGCCTGGCCCCGCGTTGCCTCCTGCGCCTCCGTGCTCCCTCCACGGTGCCCAGCTCCCACCCAGAAGCTGCTGGTGGAGTCCTGGTCCCACCCTGGGGCAGGGCTGCTTTGCAGCTGGTGTCTTTAAAGTGGGCCAGGGCGACCACCCTTGGGAGGCTGCAGGTGGGGAGGTGGGCGTGAGCTCAGGAACAGAGTTCTTTGCCAGCACGGTCCCTGTCCCCACCCCTCCCCTGGCCCCAGACCTTGTCCTGTGTGTCCTGACCCAGCCTGTGTTCTGAACTGCAGGGCAACGACCAGGTCCGTTTTGAGCTCACCTGCTACTCACTGGCGCCCCAGATTAAGGTAAGCCCTTGCCGTCCTCCTGGGGCAGGTGCCGGGGCTCAGGGACGGAAGCTCCCGAGCCTTCTCCAGGGTGTCGGGACCATAGCTCCCATCAAGAACATCCACTGGGAGGACAGTCCTCAGAGGCCACGCTCTCCCTTGTCTCATTCCTCCTGGAGGTGGTGCCCAGGTGGGCCCTGCAGCCAGTGTCCTTGGGTCCCCAGAGGCAGGCCAGAATGGCTGGGACATGGCCCTCTCAGCCCTGAGAAGGCTACACCCCGTTCCTCCCTGGCTGCCGGGGCCGACCCTGGCATCTTGGACCTGTTCCTGGGATACAGAACCCCAGGATCTTGGGGAATGAACCCCCTCTGTCTGTGGGCTGTCCCCTCCCCCTCCAGCCTGGGCCTCTGTCTGTCCTTCCATCCATCCATCCAGTCCTTCACTCACGCACATTCATTCCTTCGCCGTTTATTGAGCGCCTGCTGGGAACCAGCTCAGCCAGGCTCCAGGTGAGCTGAGCAGGGGCAGGCTCCCGGGCCTGCAGCCAGAGCCGTGGCAGTGCTTGGATGTGGCCCTACGGATCATTTCCAGGTCCCCTAGTGGCCACATTAAAACACGGTAACATCATCTTATCTATCTAACCCCATGGACCCAGCCAGGCGTCGATGCCCACAGAACCATAGCACAGACGTCTGTGCTTCCTTCATGGGGCTGGGCTGTCGGTGGGGACGGCCACCTCCCAGCACTCACCAGAGCCGTGTCCTGGCAGGGAGCTCCTTTCGGGTCCCTTTGCCTGGAGCCGCAGCAGCTTGTCCCTCCCTGCCCCCAGGGGCTCTAGGAGCTCCCCTTCCTCCTGTGGCACGTCTTCCTCTGTCCTTTTATCCTGTGACAGTTACCTGTCTGGGCCCAGGCGTGGCCTGGAGGTGAGCCATGATGAGCCCTAGTGAGTGATTCTGACCCCACAAGCCAGGCCACAGTCGCCCTGGGTCAGGGGTTACCTGTTGGCCTTCTGCAGCGAGGAGGCTGCCGAGGCCCAGGCCTCCACTTCTCTGCTTCCCGCAGCAGCTTGGGGTCAGGGGCCAGGACATCCAGTTTCTGGGTCTTTGTCCGCAGAGGCCAAGCCCAGGGGCTGCGGTGGGGCTGGGGGAGCCCTGAGGGTCTGGTGCATTCTCAGCAGGGAGCCTGGTCCAGGGACGGCTCACTCTGGGTTCAGGAGAGGAAAGCAGGTCCTGCTGCCACTCCACCCACCCGCCACACCAGCCACGCCCAGAAGCCACGCCCAGAAGCCACGCCCAGCTCCCCTCTACCTGATGGCCCCACGTACACCTGAGTTGTACACCTGAGTTCTCGCATTCAGAGAGAGGCTAGGGCCTGGTCAGTGGGCGTGGCCTCTCCTGGGGACCTGTCCCTGCCTCCCTCAGGCCTGGGCTCCTTCCCCACTCAGCAATGGGTGGCAGCAACATATTTCACCTCTGGGACCCCCAGTCACCGAGGATCGTTGGACCTTGAAGCCCATGTGGTTTAGATCCTCAGGTCTCAGCTAGGGGGACTGAGCCCAGGGGGCCGAGAGCAGGCACCCCAGTGTGGCAGCCTCTGCCCTCCCCCTGCCCATCCCCACGGAGACCCCCAGTGGCCACAGAGCCACAAGCCCTTCCCAGAAGTGCCAGCTCTTCTGCCAAGGACCAGGAGGAGTCAGCACCCTTGCCCTGCCCAGGCCTGACAGCTCGCCCCTGTCCCTTGTCCAGGTCATCGCTCCCTGGAGGATGCCCGAGTTCTACAATCGCTTCAAGGGCCGCAATGACCTGATGGACTACGCCAAGGTAAGAGCTGGGCCTCCACCGTCGCCCTGGCCACCGCCCGATACCCTCCCCATGCATCCAGCAGGGCTCCTGTGGGCCACATGGCAGGACATTGAACCCTGTTCCTGTTGCACCCCCAATGGCACTTGCCCCCTGGGTCAGACCCACAGAGGTGTGGTCATCTGCAGTACCCACTCCCTGGGCTGGGCATCTCTGAGGGGTGTGCCACCTGGCCAGAGGGTGTTGGCTGTCTCCTTCCCATTCCCAGGAGACCCGCATCCTGCTTGCCACCTCTGCGGGGTGTGTCTCTGTGGGGGTCCTTCTGGGGACAACTGGGAGGGGGTCTGAGCCAGAGGCTGCTCTGTGCACCTCAATTACCTGATGGCTAATTGTCCCCAGTGCTTCCTGGGAACAGGTAGGCGCTCCGAGGAGAGTGGTAGACAAAGACCTGTGTGGCGCCGGCCCTTTTTGAAGTACAAGTTGCAATAAAACATATTAGAAGTTTTGCATCAAGATCCTTAGCCGCTCCCCGGGGTGGCTTTCTTTTTAGCGACTCAATGGCAGCACTTGACAAACAGCCTCAATCAATCAGACGGGGAAAGCAACTCGGTGCACACACCAGAAAATTGCTCAGGTTTTTAAATAGCAGTCGCCAGGGCTGGCTGTGCGCTCTCGCTGCCGCCGCTGAGGTGCCTCGTGGCAGGGGACGCGGCGGGAACGCAGCCCTGCCCCTGCCGCCAGCATCCCATTAAGACCTGGAGCGCTGGGAGGAAAGACCTCCTCCACCATCTGTTGTTTTATTATTAAGAGGGGAGTTTACAAGACCAAACCCATATGTTGCCAAACAAATCGTCAAATAGCAGCGCTATTAAGAGAGCGGAGGTTGGCGAGGCCTCCCCCCCCTCGTCTCCTTGATGATATAGAATATGAAGCGTGTCTGTCTTTAAGAATAATGAATTGCAGCCCCCACACGTCATGGTGGCCACGCTCAGACCTGGAGTCTCAGTGGAAGGGAGGGGCAGAGCTGACCCACACAGTGCCCTCTGTGCCCGCAAGTCCCCCACACAAAACTGGCTCCTGGGTTTTCCAGCAAAAATGGACTCCGGGAGCATCGCGGTCCCTCCTGCCCAGATTTTGGGAAGAAGGCCCTTGGTTTAGCTTCCTGCCCAAAAAACCTCGCGAACAGGAGAAGTGGGCCCCGGAAAGACCAGCTGCCCCCTCAGCTGCCCACCCTCCTTCTGGGAGCCGGGTTTCAGAACAGAGCTGTGGGCAGTCTGACCGCACACTACAAGGGCCGCAGAGCCACCCAGGAAATGACCAGAATAACTGAGCAGCCACCGGGCTTTGTCCAAAATCCCGAGCCAGGCAGAATCCGAGACAGATGAGACGAAAATCAATGGGGCTTTGGAAATCTTTGCTTTCGAGACCTGTGAGTAGCCAAGGCCAAAGGGCTCTCTGAGTCTCGGAGAAACACGATTTCTTTCACGTCCCATCTTCCCCAGGCCCATCACCCAAGGGGGAGATGCTCAGAGCCTGGCATCCTCGTCCCTGTTACTAGACTTCATAGGAACAGTCGCAGCCAGACTCCAGGGAAAACCACCCCATACTGAAGACGGTTTGCTCTCCATTCTCCATCGCCACCAGAGATTTGGGGAGCCAGGGCCTCAGGACAGACAGGGACTGGGAAACAAGTCTCCCGGGTCTTGGGTCGTCACCCTGGTCGGCTCTGTGGGCCTGCCTGCTCTCCCTCCTCCTTTCCTCCCCTCTTGCTCTCCTCTCCTCACCCTTGATGGAGGTTCAGTAGGGAGGAGAGGGCATGGGTTCCCACAGCCTCCCCCAGACGAAGACCCCAGGAACCTGGGTGACCGATTTTCTTAGCCCCAGCCACCAGCCCTAAGTCTGGAAGACAAGGCCCACCAGGCCACCAGCATGTCCCTGTGGTGTAGTCACAGGGTCCTGGACCCTGCGCCTGGCAGCTGCACGGGGAAAAGGCCCAGGCGAGTGTCCCACTCTGACTCTGGACACGAGGAGACATGTGCCCCCCAACATGGAGCAGCCTGGAAACGTGGTGTTCTTGTGGCTTACATCCAGAAGCACAAGCCCTAGGGGAGGCATGAGCTGTTTGTTCTTGTTTTTTAAGTGATTCTCTTGCTAAAGCTACAAAACTAAACCCTGTTGGTGCGTTCGATTTGGGTGCCTTCTTTGAAGTAGAGATGAAGGAACGCAGCAGCCACCTGGGGGAGGGTTCCAGAATCTGTCATGGGCAGAGCCCCATTGGCAGAGAGGAGGCCCTGGCTGCTGCTGGTGGGGGCCAAGACCACTGGGGCCTGGTGCTCGGGGGCTGGGAGGCAGAGCGTCGGGTCTCACTGGCTTCAAGGGGCCCCTGGCCTGCCCTCTGCCTGGTAGGCCTCGGGAGGGGAGAACGCACCGAGAGTCCTGTGCTGGGGGGACCTGAGTGCCCATGCAGGTTCCAGTCAGGTGTCAGCCCTGACCTTTCCCCAAATGTTAAGTAAGGCCCAGGGAGAGGGGTTCCTTTACCCATGGAGGACCACTGGGAAGCAAACCCTGATCAGAGCCAAGTCTCATGGAAAAGCAAGGCCTCCAGCCCGGGCTGTCCCCTTGCAGGCTCCATGATGACATCCGTGGCAATTGCCCTGGGCTTGGGGCGGGTGTGGTTCCCAGCAGGTCTTGTACTTCAGGGCCACGAGCTGACGCTGTCCTGGGTCCCTCCTGTGGAAGGGTCCCTACTGAGCAGTGTGGACTCCGGGACAGATGCCTGGGTTCACACCCTGACTCTGCAGGGGCTCTGTGGGGGTCAGTGCTGGGACCCTCAGCACAGTGCCTGGCACCAGGTTCTCCAAGGGCCCTTGGAGGATGGACTCAGGGTCTTCTGGAAGGAAGATCAGCATCCCCAGCCCTGGGTCTTTGGCAGGTCTAGCAGCGGGCCTCGCTCCTCCTGCAGGGCTGCCCCAGGTGGTCCAGAGCCTGACCCTCAGGTCCCCTTCCAGCCATCTCACGTCTGTCCCATGTTGTCTCTAACCTGCAGCAACACGGAATTCCCATTCCAGTCACCCCCAAGAACCCCTGGAGCATGGACGAGAACCTCATGCACATCAGGTAAGACGTGCCTGCCCCACACCTGGGGTCCTGCCTCCCGGAGCGGACACCCAGTCACCCGCTCCCGCTGCTGCTTCCACTGTGGTTCGGTGTCAGTGGGGACCTGGCCTTGGGACCTGGCCTTGCCTGGGGCAGTAGGGAGGACTTCTTTGAGGAAGTGGCAGTTAAAACCTTGAGGATGAACGGGGCTCAGCTGGCACCCGGAGCAGTACTGAAGGCAGAGGGATGGCATGGGAAGGTCCCCAGCCAGAGGCCCTGTGTGTGGAGCCTGGGCCTGCACCCCAGAATCCGAGGGCACTGTCCCGGCTCTTCCCTGTGGCCCTTGGCTCTCACAGCCAACGGGGGTGGGCGGGGTGTTCCAGGCAGGGTGGGCAGCCAGTGTTTTGGCAGACAGGAAACGGCACACGGGCGGTGGTGTGTGCCTGGCCTGGCCATGTCCCCTCCCGACTCACCCGGTCTCCCCTCTCTCCCCACAGCTACGAGGCTGGAATCCTGGAGAACCCCAAGGTAATCTCCGTTCCTTTGCGCCGGCCACCTTTGGTGATGGCTCCGTGCCTGTGCCCTCTGATGTATTTGTAGCCTAATTTGAAATTTCACAGGGGGCAGGCCTGGAGCAGAGCCTGTGTCCCTGACCCTCCCACCCACCCCCTCCCCCTGCTCTTTCTAATTGCTGCGGGATGAATAGGGAAGGAAGTATTTCAGAGCCGCCAGGAGAGAGGGGACTGGGAGACAATAAAGGCGTCATTAGGCAGATGAGACGCTTGTGGGAGGACCCAGCCTGTGCCCACAGCCTCGCCCATGGCGTGTGGGACAGAGTGGCAGGGACCATTTGTCTGCGTCTGTCCCACGCTCGCCCTGGCCTCCCTGATCCTGTCCCCGACCTCCAGGCTGGCCAGGCTGGGCCCTCAGCCGGGTTTGAAGTTTAGGGTTTCTCTCCTGGGGGTTTCTTTGTCTCCCCTGCCCACCATGGGAGGTGGGGGAGGCAGGACAAAGTCTATCATGGGAAGAGAAAAATCTCTTTGTCCCCAAGGGAATGTGTCCCTGGCCCAGCCCCACCCTGGGCGGCAGCTCTGGGGGTGGGTGGGCCGCCCGGCTGACATCAGGGAGGACGTGTGTTGGGGGCGGGGGTAGTGCTGGGGCAGCTGGGCCTCGGGGTTCCAAAAAGGCCATCTGGAGGGAGAGGCCGGGGTGGCTTGGCTGAGAACCCCGAGGGCTGGAGCTCTGCCCGGGGTGCAGGGCCGGCTCCCCAGGCCTGGCGTCTCTGACTGCCCCAACATGTGCCAACGCGACATCCCCCAGCCGTCAAGGGCTCCGTCACTGTCGGCCACCATGTGATGTGTGCCCCCGCCCGCTGGCACCTGGCCCGCTTGGGCGTTCATTTTCTCGCCTTGATTTCCTTGGCTGCAGGCTGGGAGCACCTCACCTCACAGGAGGGACACTGGGGGCCAGGGCAGTGATGGCACCCTGGGTGCCAGTCGCTCAGAAAAAGGGCAGGGCTGGTGCCTTGGGTCTTAGGTCCCCCTCCCCACCCGCTCTCCCCGCTTGGTCCACGCTGTCACTCAGGAGAGCCGGCACCCTGTCCCCTGGGGACTGATGGGCACTGCAGGGCTGCTGCCTGCTGGCCACAGGTTCTTCCAGTTCACGCTCTGTTGACCCCACGACACTCGGGCAGCCACCTCTAATTAGCCAGTCAGTCAGCACCAAGGGGGTGGGGGGCTGGGCCCTGCAGAGCTGCTTCCAGGCAGGGTGTCCTGCCAGCCACGGGCATGCTGGGAAGCCACTCCCACCCTCTCCAAGCAGCCTGTGGCCATCTCCCCAAGACTAGACCAACACAGGATTGGGGTGCAGGGCTGAGGCAGGAGGGAATCACCCCTCAGGCATTTAGGGGACTGAGACTTGGTACAGATCGCCTTGTGACTATGGGCAGGCTCTGTCCCCTCTCAGGCCTTTTAACAATGGCATTGGATGGATAAGTAAGTGTTCCCAAGTCTTTATCAAGGATACTGCCACCCAATCAATTCTTGGGTCCCAGAGTTAGTAAAACTGAGCGTGAACCCAGCTCTGCTTCTTAATTGCTGTGCAGTCTCAAGCAAGCTACCTGACTTCTCTGAGCCTGCCAATTCTTGTGCACAAAACGGGAAATCATAGCACCTCCACTGGCACAGGCAAGGCCTCAATCTTGGGGGTTGGAGGGTCCTACCCTCCCCCTTAGGCCACCAAGCTGCTCTCAGAAACTCTTCTCATCAAGCAGGAAAAGCTGCGCTGGGCTGGGCTGGGTGAGAGTCTACAGAAAGGGCTTGCAGTAGTCATGGGCCCTGCAGAGGTGCCCAAGGCCCACCCACCCTAGCAGGGGGTCAGCGCCATCCTGAGTTGACCTGGCCACAGGGGATCCCCAGAGTTCCATGCAGGTGCCTAACCTCCAGGACCCAGCCTTGCTCTGCGGGGAGGGGGGAGGGCAGCCCCCGCCCCCGCCCCAGTCCCTGCCCCAGTCCCCGGGGGAGGAGCTCTGGGAGAGAAGCTTAGGGGAACCAGTGCCCATCCCCCTCTCCAAAAAAAGCCCCGAGACCTGCGGAAGGGAGGGTTTGAAGGCAGATGGCTGAGCCATTTTCTGCCTCCATGAGGGCTGATTGAAGGGCAATGAGGCAGCTAATGCGAAGAAAGATAGAAATTTACTTGCTTTAACTTCATACGGCCCACAGTGAAAGAGTTCATTCAGTCGCCGGCCCGCCATATCTGATGGATGAATAAACCATTTGCAGCATCGATCATGCCTCTACATCATGGCTTAGTTCATGGGCCATTTGCTTCCAATTTCTCCTTCCCGGGCTCTGCTTCATGCTTTCTTTCGCCCTCTCCCCCGCCCCCACCGACTCTCTCTCCCTCTCTTCTTCTTCACTCTCTTCCCTCCCCCTGCACCCCCCCAAGATGACATTGGAAGTGAGCCCTCCCGCTGGGATGGATAAATAGATGGCATTGATACTCCGCAACAAACTATTTGTCATTTGAACTGGGCTTTTAGGAGGGGGAGTAAAAAAGAAGGCAGGCGCCCGAGCCACCTCGGAATGCAAAGCAAATGTCATTTTATTTCTATTTAGTTATTTTATTTAATCGGAGCTGTCAGGTGCCCGCCCAGCAGCTGCCTGCAACTTCCGCTGTAGAGGGACCATCCTCCTCCTCCTAATCCGGGCCTCGGGCCTTGAGGTCTTCCTGTCTTCCCGTGGCCCCTTCCAAATACAAACACTGTTGTCCTCCACTTCTAAGGAGTGGCTGGAGAAAGTGACAAGGGCCCAGCTGAAAACGTGGTCACAGTCGGGCACTGGGTGGGAGTCCTAGGCAGGTGGGGAAGGGGCTGTGGGCCAGGGAGCCTGGCCAGTCTCTGACACCAGGCTCAGGTGCTGGCTGTCTCCCTGTGGTCCTCAAACTGCTTCTCGGCCCAGGCCACCTCGGCAGCTGGGACAGAGCACAGGATGCTGGGAAGAGCCCTGGGCTGGCTTGAGAGGCGTGATTTGGATCAGCCTCTTCTCTGGGCCTTAGTTTTCCTTCTGGTCTAGGGAGGTAAGGAGGGGGGTCCTTACCCCCTGACTCCCTGAGTCTGTCTTTAAGGTGGGTTCTGGGTTCTTGTTTTCTAATGCACAGATGAAAACAGATGAAGGGGCACAGGCCCAAGGTCAGGCAGTGGTGAGTGGGGCAGGGTTCCTCGTGTCTGAGCCCAGAAACAGCTGGAAGGACCACATCTGCCCGGCACTAGAGGCCTCCTGGACAGACACTGTATGTCCACTGCTGAAACAGGAAGCAAGGGAAACTGGGACGGGTGGACCCAGCATAGAGCCAATGGGAAGGGGAGCACAGGTGCGTGGGCCGCTGCACCCCGTGGGCTGGGGCCTGTCCTAGAAGGACTCTTACAGGCCGAAGGCTCAGTGCCTGTCACCCGCTGTCCCTTCCCTGGCAGACCCATTACCATCTGCACTGGACCTTGCATATTGTTCTCTGGTATGTTTTCGAGTCCAGTAAGAATCCGTCTAGGCACTTAAATTATGGGGGTGTCATCCCCCCATTTTACAGATGAGGGAACTGAGGCAGAAGGAAGTAAGGCAGCTTGCTCAAGGCCCCGAAGCCTGAGGTCTGGCCTCTAGCCTGGAGTATTTTCCACCACTCTAAACGCCAACAATCAGGTGTTCCCAGCCTCCAGCTGGACACGGACCATCCATCCCTCCAGAACACACTGCTGCAACTCAGTGCTGGCCCACAGGCTCTGTGGCTTCGCCTGTCGATGAGGCGGTGGGGTCTGGCCTTCTTACCAGACAGGGCTGCTGAGAAGCAAAGGCCACACGTGAATGGGCACCCGGTTTTGAAAGGCACAGATGTAAGGGACCCTGTTGGCGGGACATCAGCAGGTGCGCAGAGCAGCTGGGCACAGGAGGAACTTGAGCAGGCAGGTCCCATGGGTCCCTGTCCCCAGCACGGCAAGTGTCCAAACTGCAGCCGGGTGGAGCTGGGGCCCCCAGAGGCTGCCGGGAATCGAGAGTCCCGGGCAGCAAGAATGCCCGCTCCTCTGCCGCAAGACGAGGCCCATTTTCCAACGCGCCCGAGAACAAATATACATAAAGGTTGATGTGTTTTCAAATGGTTTTTGCTTTGCTCTTCTCTTTTCTCCCTGTGAGTATTAACCTCGGGGACCCCGGGGACAGCTCGGCCCGCCGGAGCACCTGCTGGGGTCACGCGCAGTCATTAGCTTTGCGGTCATCGCGGAATAAACCCCAATTCCCGGCGCCTGCGAGAGCGTGCGTGCGGCTCCCGGGAAGCCCGCGGAACGCGGCCGCTCCTGCAAAGTCGCACTTTTTCCTGCCTGACTTGTTTCTCTCCTGCTATTCTACCTCCAGCTGTGGGGGCGTCGAAGAAAAAGATGAGATCAAGTTGAGGGGAAAAATTGTCTGATTTCTTGAGCCCTTTGTTTCCCAGGCCCCTGGCAGCGGGGCCAGCTCTGGGCTGGGGGCTGGGAAGCCTGCTGGACCCGCCGGGATGGCGGGGAAGTGCCTGCCAGAGGCCTCCTGTCCTGGAGAGGGGCGTGGGTGCAGGAGGTAGGGTGCAGCTTTCCTGCCCGCGGGCTGGGCACTCTCCACCCTCCAACCTCTTTCTCTTTTGTCAGAACCCAGCGCCTCCAGGACTCTACACAAAGACCCAGGACCCAGCCAAAACCCCCAATACCCCTGACGTCCTGGAGATAGAATTCAAGAAAGGTAGGTCGAGCACCGCCCGGCACCCCTGGGACCTGAAGGGGGCTGAGGCTCAGGGCTCTGGCTCCCTCTGCTCCCTGCTTGGGTTCTAAGTCCTCTCACCTCTCCTGAGTTCCTGGAAGCCAGAATTCAGGCAGGGGCTGCAAGGTCCCAACAGTTTCCATCCCCAGACAGTGTGACCCATGCACACCCCGAGGCTTGGGAGGGGAAATCCAAACTTCCAGCCTCTGAGCAGCCACCTGCCAGATACTCTGGGACTTTGGGAAAGTCACTTGACTTTCCTGGGTCTCAGTTTCCCCACCTTGACCTGGGGATACAAGGTGCCTGCTGTTTTCCTGGTGTGGAAGGAGGTCCGTATGGGAAATGACCCGCAGCAGAGCTGGCTGGCAAGGGCAGGTGCTCAATGAATGGCAGATCCGATACAGCTGGACGCAAGGGCCCCTCTGCTCCACTTCTTAAGCCTTGGCCAGTCCTAAATTAGCTGCCCAGCTCTGGCCACCCCCCAGCCCCAGGCACAGATGGAGCTGGGGTGGGGGGATCCTGGTCTCCCCTCACCCCGCTGCTGTCAGAGAAATAGTTGCCGGCCTGGTTTGCATGCCCAGCCTTCATCGCTTGCTGTGAAGGAGGGAGGGGAAGGCAAGGCACGCCTGGTGACAGGAGGAGCAGGACCCAGTTCAGAGCGAGGGTGCCAGGGTCTGAGGAGAGGACCTTTCCAGTAGGCTGCAGAGATCAGGAAAGCTTCCTGGAGGAGGTGGTGCTGAGCAGGAGCTAGAGGAACCAAGAGGAGTTTGAGGCCATCCCAAGCCCAAGGGGGCTAGCCCATCCATCCACTCACATCTGCCAGGAGGGGACAGAGACCAGAGAGAGGGGCTCCAAAGCTCAGCCTTTCCCCAGGGCACCTCAGAGATAGGACAGGGCGAGAGAAGCAGTCACTTAGTAGTCACACCGGCACCCCTGGGCCTCAGGTAACACGAGCCATAGAGGAGATGCTCACAGGTGCTGAGCGGATGCTGTAAGGTCTCCATACTGTTAGTACTCAGTGAGTCTCTTCTGGGCCTTTCCCAAGAGCCCGGCCAAGTCAGTGAGCAACTCCATCACTGTTCAAACCCTTGAATTCCATGCCCCAAAGACGGGGCTGCTAGGACCTAGGTGGACCCCTGGGCAGCTGGAGTCCTGGGTCCTTTTGTGCCTGCTCCCCAGCCCAGGCCTGGCCCGCAGGCACAGGGTCATCCCTGAGAAGATGGTGGGGCACCAGGCAGCACATCCTGCCCTCCTGTGTGGGAACCCCAAGAGCCCAGGAAAGCAATGGGGACAGGTGAACAGAAGGTGGCTGATGGTCCCTGGCACCAGGCTCTGGCAGTCCTACCTGAAGGAACAGGGCAGCCCTGTGGGCTGAGCTGGGGAAGAAACATGATCCATTATGAGGATTTGGGGACAGTCTGGAAGGGGGAAAAAAAAAAAGAGAGAGGGAGGAACCCTCCCCTGCCTGGTCCCCATTCACTCTCTAGTTAATTTATTTGAAGTTTTAATCTAATTATTAACTATTTTAAACGCTAAGAGGCTTTCTGCAGCAGCCGCACCAACAATGTCCCCTCTTCTCCCGGGCAGGCCCCATCCACGGCCCCAGTGAAGGCCCATAATAGGACCCGGGAGGGAGAGAAAGGCAGCGGGGAGAGGCGGGGGGTGGCGAGAGGGGCTTAAGGTTCATTATTGGGCAGACTTACATTTAATAGCAATTTACAACCAAGTTATAAAACCCCTGGAAATGGGGGTTAAGAATGGCGAGGCTGACAGCGGCTTGAGCGAAGCCCCTCCAAGCCGCGGCTGGCTAATAAAGACTCCAAAGCCGCTATTGAGCCCTGATTGGCACCCGATGGCTCGCTACATGGTAATGAGCCGGGCAGATGGGTGGGGGATTAGCGCCAACTTTGAACAGCTTTCCTTTGTCACTGTTACAGCTCTCTTGTTAGCCCTCTAATACATTTATTGCTCATTTCACACCGCTCGGGAAGGTGCCCCTTGCTATTCAAAGTCAACCCCGAACCCACCCACCGCCCCCACCTCGCCGCCCCCCTTGACACGGCCCTTCCTGGCCGAGCCACGACCGCCTCCCTCCAGCCCTCCTGCCACACTGGACCCCACTTCTCAGAATTCATGGGCGTCCCCGACACCCCGCCTGCCAGAACGGGCACCGGCTCGCCCCCATCAATCAGATGGCTGCGTGTGGGTCTGGGGTGTCGGGCTGGGGCGCAGGGGTCCGCCTGACAGCCGTGGCAGGGGCTGAGTGTGTGCGCGTGCGCGCGCCCAGCCGCACCTCGGCCATGCGGCCCCGGGCAACTGGTGGGACAGAAGGTGCTCCCTGTGTAAGACAATGGTGGAGCGTGAAATTCAATTAGTTCAGGGCCTGGTTCCAATTTCACAGTCCCTAAATGCAAAAGGGGCACAGAGAATGGGAGGGGGCCTGCTAGCGTTTTTATTGCATTTTCCCTTTCATTCTGGGGGGCTCTCTCGCCCCTTCTCTCCCCCCAGCGGGCCTCAACCTGCACAGGGCTTTGAAGGAGTCATTTGGACTCTATATCTGTCACATGCATTTAAGGCGTTGCAAGGACAGGGAGAGGGCGGGGTGGCGGGCGCAGGCTCCTCTACAGAGCCCAGCTCCAGTCCCAGAGGCCCACTGCCCTCTCCTCCTGCCCCCAGGGGTCCCTGTGAAGGTGACCAATGTCAAGGATGGCACCACTCACCAGACCTCCTTGGAGCTCTTCATGTACCTGAATGAAGTCGCGTGAGTGCCCACAGCCTGCCTGGCCACCCGGGAACCATCCTCTTGGGCAGGCACTAACTGTCACAGCTGGGGTTCAGGGGCTGAGGAGGACAGGCCGTGTCCTGGCCCCATAGGCATAGGGTCTCCTGGACCACGGTGATGGGTTTGCCAGGAGAGCCCTTGCAGTCCCTGTTTAAACCCTTTAGCCTACAAAGATGGCAACCAAGGGGTCTGTGGCATCCTGGGGTTGGTCGGGCACGGGGGCTTCCAGCCCTCCGCTGGATCAGGGAAGATGAGTGTGGGGAGACGTGGGGCCCCGAAAGACAGCCCAAGAAGCGATTGAACCCAGTCGCCCAGGCAGTCTCTTCTCCCCTGGGCCTCAGTTTACTCAACCAGTGGGCACTTGGACCAGGTCCCTGGCTCGGATGTCCTCTGAGTCCTGGAGCCTGAGATGGAGGCTAATGTGCCACACAGGCTCTGGGGTGGGTGCAACCAACCTTGTGCCCTCTGTGTCAGCCCCAGCCCAGCCCTGTGGGTGGCATCTGACCCAAGCCTTGCATCAGTGTCTGAATCCAAGTGACCTCTCCTCCCCACAGGGGCAAGCACGGTGTGGGCCGCATCGACATTGTGGAGAACCGCTTCATTGGAATGAAGTCCCGAGGTGAGTGGGCCCAGCTCTCCTGCAGTGTGCCACTGCAGCCAGCCCCCAGAGACGCCCAGAAGATTTCTCTCCAGCAAAGTAGGATGATGGCCTCTGCCGCTGGCTTCCCAGAGTGTTATGAGAGGACCTGCCCAAGATTGGGGAGGGCCCTGAGGGCCTGGGAGAGGCTCCGAGGGCCTGGGGCCAGGCCCTGAGGTCACCCTCTCTTGTGTCAGGGGCGGGTCGGCCAGGTTTGGAGGCAGACCGTGCAGGGCCGATTTTGTGGTCATTAAAGCTGTGTCGTGTGGCTCTCCAGGCAGGCAGGGCAGGAATCCTGCCAGGGGTGGGCGCTGTGAGCCAGCCCAAGCCTGAGGGCCTGTCCCCGCCTCACCCCTGGTGTGGGGAGAAGCCCAGGGACGGCAGGCATCTACTCTGGACTGGAGTGGCTGCCACTTTGGCTGCACCTGGCAGGGCCCCGGGAGGGGGGCCAGTGCCCAGCAGGTGCTGCTGCCTTGTCTAAGGAACCGAAGTCTGATTCCTTTTGTCACTTGCCATTTCACTGACCTCACCCTCCTCTCCAGGACTCAGTCTCCCCTCCTGCCCAACCAGGGGGTCCCAGGCAGAGCCCGAGGGGCAGCTGGGTGTGGAGCAGCAGTGCTGCTTTCCTTCTGAGGGGCCGTTGGGGGGGGGAGGGTGGGGTCTCAGCAAGCGAGAACCCCAAAACTGGGCGCCGGGACCTGTAGCAGCCGGTGGTGTTGGGTGGGTGTTCACGTCACCTTGCACAGCGTCGACTTGCAAAGCTCCTGCAGCTGAGCACGGCCAGGCCAAGGCAGCCAGGGCCCTTTCTCCTGCAGGACGTTTTCGCCAACTTCCTAAAATCCCAAGGGCCCAGGCCAGATTTCAGCCGTTAGCCAGGGTGCTGGTCTGGGAGGCCAGGTGTCCGGGGCTCTGGACCCAGGTTTGCCCAGCCTGACTCAGTGACCTTGGACTTCCCTCTGGGCCTCAGTTTCCCCAGGTGTAATGTAGTCATCCCTAGGCTGGGACCAGAGTCGTCCTGGCTCCAGCCTGTTTCAGTTGGAGCCTCGGTGCCTCTCCCTCCTCCTCCCTCAGCTGTTGTCCATGAGAAACCACTCAATGGAAGTGCTGGGGAAGGCCTTGTGGAGAACAATGTCACTAATTAGCTGCTCCCTTTTATCCTGCTCACCTTTGTCTCTTCACCTATTTAACATCTGATTAAATGTCCCTTTGTCTCCACCTGCCCTTGGGAGCAGGCACAATGGGCGTCCTCCAGAGGCAGCTGGCAGGACCTTGGGGACCAGAGGCCAACACCTCACTTTCCAGATGGGGAAACCCAGGGCCAGCAGGGGAGAGGGCTTGCTCCCAGCCCAGGGCAGCAGGACCAGGCAGGCGTGAGGAGGAAGGCCAGGAGAAACAGGATAGGGGAACAGGCTCAAGGGAGGGGCTCCGCAGGTGAGGCCAGTCCTCAGGGGATGCCGGGTGGGCACAAAGGCAGCCTAGGCCCTCTGGGTGTGGTCAGTGGGCTCTGGCGTGTCCACTACTCTGCCCATTGCCTTGCCCATGGTAGGCATCACTAATCGATCGTGGCACGCTCCTGCTGACTCCAGATGTGGCTTAGTGGTGTTGGCAGGCACTATCAATTGATCAGGATTGTTACAATTGAGAAATGGCATCCTGCTGGGTGGGGGGGGCAGAACTGTACTGAAGGCCTGGGTAGTACTATCCTAGGAGGACCTCCTGGAAGGGGTGGTGGTAGAACAGACTTCAGTGGGTCAAATGAGGGGGTGGAGCAGGAGTACTCCAGGTGGTGGGTGGGGGCTAATGGGGGCTGAGCCCCTGCAGAGCTGGGGAGGCACATGGAAGATCCAGTGTTGAGAGTCAAGGTTTGTTTTTTGTTTTTCTTCTTGTTTTGGTACCTGGTATTGAACCCAGGGGTGCTTAACGCTGAGCCACATCCCCAGCTCTTTTTTTTTTTTTTTTTTTGGGACAGGGTCTTGTTAAGTTACCTAGGTCCTTGCTAAATTGCTGAGGCTGGTTTCAAATTAGAGATCCTCCTGCCTCAGCCTCCCCAGCAGCTGGGATTATAGGCATGCGTCACTGCACACATCAGGTCAAGATTTGAGTCCTGATCTTGGCCCCATTACCATTGGGAAGCAATGGAGCGCCCGGAGCCTTGACTCCTCCACCTGTGAAGTGGATTGGGGTTGGGTCTGGTGTAGACTGGAGCATCATCCCCCAGAAAGGCAGAGTTGTGACATCAACAGCTTGTACCAGCCCCCTTAGTTCTTCTTCACCACTTGTGGAGGAAAACGTCTTGAGCTATCCTCACTCGGCACAGGTACTGTGTGCACCTATGGGGGACTGTCCCTAAAAGAACAGAATTTAGTCTGACAAGCACACCATCCTGGGGAAGGAAATTAGGATTCCAATTCCAAGACGCTGCTGGATGACCTGGGGCAAGTTGCTGTCTCTCTCTGAGACTTCCACCTAGAGGAGGATCTGTCATTTCCCTCAGAAGTTCTAACTTGATGGTTTTCCACTCACTTGATGACTTCGGGGAGGGACCTGTTTTTATTTCTCCACTCCAAATATTTCTCTGTGAGAAAGCAGGGACAGAGACAATGAGTGAGGGGTCGTGGATCCCCGTGATGAGGTGTTTATTAAGTGGACAGAAACGGGAGATGCTGATAATCACCAATTAAATTGAGGGCATGGCTGGACGATGCCATTGTCGGTATCTCAGTGTACAAGGGGGAATGTCATCTATATTGATTTTACAAAGCTCGTAATTGAAATTCGTTAAGGGCTTGTTTTTTCAGGGAGGAGGGGGAGCTAGGGAGTTGGTCAGTGCCAGGACCCGGGCCTGGGGTGGTGTGGTCAGGAGGTGCTAGGGGCCATGGGGTCAGGGACAGAGGGCTGGGAGTCTGCAGATGGAGTGGCTCCCCTGTATTGTGGCTGTTCACATCGCCATTATCACATTATCTTTTTAACTCTGGAGGGGGGCTAATTAAGTGAAGTAAATGAAATCAGTGGGGAGGAGAGGGGGAGGCGGGCAGGGGGGAAGCCGGGAAGGAGCCGGCATGTCCTTCGGCTCACCTTCCCCCTCCTCTCCGGCCCAGACCCCTCCAGCCAGCTCTGGGCTGCCCACCCGCCTCCCTCCCTCTTCTCTCCCCGCTGTGTGGGCCCCACTTCTCTTGGTCTCCCCTCTTCCTGTGGTCCCTCTAGTCTGCTTCCTTGCTCATCCCCTGGGACCCTCCCCTCTTCCTTCCCCCATCTCACTTCCTCCTCGCCCCTCCACTTTCTGGTCAGGAAGGAAGCAGGGCTGCCCCCCTGTCCAGCCCTCCAGAGGCTCTGCTCAGCTGGAACATTCCAGACGCAGAGTGTAGGTGACCTGTGAAACTGAGGGGTTCTCGTCCCAGAGCCTGCGGTGGCCATCCTCAGAGATCCACCCTGTTTCCAGGACAGGCGCCAGGAGCACAGAGGGTGGCTGGGCACCACCCCGACTGGCCTCCCATCACCATGGCAACCGCCTCCAGCCTCGGCCCTGGTACCAAGAGGGGAGCCCTTGGGCTCCGGCCAACCTCCTTCCCCTGGCCTTTCCAAATCCCTTCCTCTGGAGCCTCTGGCCCAGGTGCCTAACACCCACCCACCCCCCGCCGGCTTGGCAGATCCACTCAATTCTTCCCAGTCCTCAGCGCGGGCTAACCTGGCAGCCTGGGGCTGATGAGAAGGATTTAAGCCGCAGCAGCTGTGTGGTCCCACCTTCCTCCTTGTCCACTCTCCCCGCCTGCCACCCCCGGCTCCTCATCCTCCTTCCTCGCCTCCCCCACCTTCTTGGCAGTAATTACGGTGTGATTGAAGCTGCTCCGCAGAGCGGTGCTGACACCTCTGTCTTCCCTGTAAACACGGGGAGATGAAAATAGACACTTGGAGCCGCTGTGCGTGTCACTCCGAAGATGTCTGTTGTCTGCTCCGTGGCGACGCGAGGCTCAGCTGTCACGTCCTCCTTCCTTTTGCACAGTGGTTTGTATGCCGACTGTCAAAAGCCAGAATCCATAGTCTTTTAGCATCAGGTTTCTGTCACCAATTTTTTTTAAGTCATTTTTTTTTCCCCAGTAGAAACACACAGAAATCATCTGTGCCCCCCACCCCTGCGGAGAGGGGAGAGAGCTTTAAAATGCACACACGCGCGCGCACACGTGCACACACCAGCAGCAGCCTAAAAACCAGTTTTTTGATCAGCCACGTTTAACTTTAACACCGCGTATGGAAAGGAGCAGGAACCTAATCAGGCCGGCGGGTCATGGCTGTGACCCTTCCTGGAGCTGCCTCAGAGGCCCCCAGCCATGGGTGCTCTGGGGGAGCAGGAGGAGATGGCTCTGCGGGCCCCTCTGCCCCCTGGGCACTGTTTGTTCCTGGGGCTGCTGGCCTTGTTTTCCTGGGGACACCTGTTGTGGGCCAGTGGCTAGGGGACCTTAGGCTGTGTCCGCCCCTCTCCGGCCTGTGGGGAAATAATGCCTTGGGGTTGGCCCTTCGCATTCCTCTGGAAAAACCTCGTTGGTGTGCATGGCCTGCAGGGACAGCTGTCTCCGCTTACCTTCAGGCAGGTCTCAGAGGAAGAGCCGCAGAAACTTGGCAACCTGAGTTCTCCAGGCAGGTTGCCCACCTGGGGCTCAGAGAACTCACTAAGAGGGGCTAAGTTCCCCAGCAAAGCCAAGCAGGCCCTCTGTAAAGGAGGAGGTTGTAAGATGCGGTTCCAGCCCCAGCTCTGGCCTTACATTTGTCCCAGTCAGGAGAGAGGCCCAGGGCGGCTGTCTGGTCCCTGGGAGCTGCAACTGCAGAGGCTCCTGCTACCGGCCTGCCCAGGACAGCGCTGCCACCACTACCTGTGACTAGTGCAAGGGCGGGTTTGCAAGTTTCTAGTTTCTTTCAAAATGTACCAAAAAAAAAAAAAGAAAAGAAAAGAAAAAGGAAATCATTAGGAGACCTGACTCAGACCCAGGAAGTACTGAGTTGCTGCTCTGCCAGGATGAGAGGTGCCGGCTTCATTCGCATCTTGGTGGCTCCTGGGAAATGACTCTGTTCTTGGTGGTGAAGGTTTAGGGTAATTGAAAAGTTGGCCTTGAGTCAGCATTTCTGCTGTGTTTGGGGGCAGGTGTTCCCAACCTCCTGCACTCAGCTCCTCCTAAACACACTGCTGGACTATTAGGCGGTGGATTTGGTGGCTTGTCTGGAACCAGCCTGTCCCCCAAAGAGTGACCCCGGCTTCTGTGCTGAGTTCCGGCATCTCCTGTTCTCAGGCCGCTGCAGTGGCCCTTCTGTACCACTCCTTCTGTCTCTCCCTCCATCAGGCTTCCTGCCCCTCTCTAATTTGCAGAAGCCGACACTGGAACCTGTTTGAACGTATTTACAAGAGTGACAATGTGTCCTGAGGGAGTTGAGGGCTTGAGCCTCCTGTATAAAGGGGGGTGTTAGCAGGGCCATTTCCCATCCACAGGTCACAAGCAGAAGGACAGTGGAGATTGCACCAGAGCTGCAGCCTCCACAGGGAGTGGGGGGAGGGCACGTGATGACCAGATCCAAGCCCCGTCTCTGTGTGGGGTTTGACCCCCGGCTCACCCGAGACCTCGGTCCCCTGCTTGTCCTGCTGCTTGGCAGCTGCTTTCTGTCTTTCTATGTGTGGCTGCTCTGGGGTCCTCTGGAGTCCTGTGGGGTCTGTCCTTGGCGTGTAACTGGCTGTCTGCACTCAGCGCCAGTCCTGGGTCATCCCTGAAAGTCCTTCCTTGGGAAGGTGGAGCCGAGTTCCATGGTGTGGCTGGACTCCCGTGTTGTCCTCTGGCCAAGGGCGTTGGGCAGCATCCTGTCTGGGGCCCTGTGCATGTGCCCCGGTGGGTGTGCGAATCCTAGTGTGCAGAGGTGACAGGTACATTTTCAGGGTGACTGACATCCTGCCTCTAGTGTTGTTATGTGGTCAGAGGAAGGAAACTTTCAGGGTGGAATTGTGGGGAGAGGGCTACTGTCCCTCCCATCAGAACAGGGGACACAGGACAGAGGCCACACTGCCTGTCCAAGAAAGGGCCTGGGCCAGCCAAGCATGGATGACGATCCTGCCTCTCACAGTCTCTGTCCTCAAGCGTAGCAGGACGGACCTAGTCCAGCCCAGGGGCAGGCACTTCTGCGTCACTTTGGAGACCATCTGGCCCAAGCAGGTTGACAGGGGGAGACTTGAGCAAGGGTCATGCCCTTGACCCTCTGGGTTTGGGCCTCCAGGGTCATTTGGCCCACAGGGCAGCAGACAGCACTGGGCCAGGGGCTCAGGGGCTCCTTCTCCTCGAGGGCTCAGTTTCCCCATCTGTACAGTGGGGCCAGCCCAGGTGCTCACTTGGCCCCGGGCCACTGATGGAGGACGCATGCATGTCCACACGGGTGCGTGTATGTGCGTGCACGCACCGCCGTCCCCCTCCCTGGCTCCCTGGTGGAAGGAAGGAAGGGATATTTGGGGCCCTGGGCTCCTCCGTAGTTGGTTTAATTACAGGTTTTCAGCACAGGCCGGTGGGCATGCATTGGGAAGGGGGGGAACTGCTCCGAAACCCTGTCATTTTCCAACGTCTGCGGGCCTCTTCAAAGGGGGGCATCTAGACATTTTCTCCACAAGCCGCAGAGTGGACTGTCGTGGCCCCAGCATGAGCATAATGACAGGCGCATTTTGCAGCAAGCTGGGAGTGAATGGGTCCGACCGGCTTGTCTCCTGTCAGATGAGTCATTATTATTTTTTTTTTTTTTTGTCATTTGCTGACAGTTTGGGTTTCATGTGTTTCTCTCTTTTTTCTCCTTTTCCCCCTGCCTGGAAAAATGGCTAGGTATCTACGAGACCCCAGCAGGGACCATCCTTTACCACGCTCATTTAGATATCGAGGCCTTCACCATGGATCGCGAGGTGCGCAAAATCAAACAGGGCCTGGGCCTGAAATTCGCGGAGCTGGTATACACTGGTGCGTGACTCTCCCTCCGTACCCCACCCCCACCCCCACCCCAGGCGCTCTGCCCCCCCCTCTCTAGGCCCACGCGCCCACTGCCTGCTGGAGAAAGGTGCAGGCTGAGGCGGTCTGGGAGGCCAGGGAGAAGGGAGGCCAATGCCTCCCCCTGGGATTGGTAAGAGCAATGTCAGGGAAGTGTCCCGTCTCATTCCCAAGGAGCCAGCCTGCAGCAAGATGTGCCAGGTGCTGGGTGCCGTAGGGGACACAGGCCATCCCACGGGTCCTCATGTTGCCCAGGAAACCTGTGGCTCATTTTATTATAGATAAGAAAACAGAAGCCCAGAGAAGGAGTTTGTTCCAAATGACCTAGCCAGAAGTGGCCCAGCAGGGTCTGACCCGGAGTCAGACTGTCCCCAGGCAGAACCTGGAGCCACTCTGGTTACTGCCTGAGGGAGCCGCTGGACCAGGAATCCAGTCTGGACTCAGCATGGAACCCAGGGCCTCCCCATGCTGAGCGGGCACTCCACCCTGGGCCACATGGCGGCCCTTTCTGTTTTATTTGAGATAGGGCCTCCCTAAGTCGCCAGGTCGGCCTTGAGTCTGTGGTCCTTCTGCCTCAGTTCCCAAGTTTCTGGGATTTATAGGTGTGCGCTACTGCCCCCAGCAGGAGCCAGATCTTGACCATGAAACCACTGCGGTGGCCACAGGCCCAGGCATAGTCCATGAGTGGAAGAGTCAGCAGGTGACATTGGCACCCACCTTCCAGGCCAGCAGACCCAGCCCCACGCCTTGCCCATCGGCATGAGCTGGAATCAGGCCTGCTGACGCCCATGTTGTACATCAGGGATTCCCCTGAGTCCAGCCATCACCTGTTCTTGTTCAGCCCGTGAGCTAAGAATAGTTGTTATGTTTTTTTTTTTTAATGTTTATTTTTAGGTGTAGATGGACACAACACAATGCCTTTATTTTTATGTGGTGCTGAGGATCAAACCTGGGTCCTGCCCGTGCTAGGCGAGTGCTCTACCGCTGAGCCACCATCCCGCCCCTGATTTTTATGTTTTTATTTTATTTATTTACTTATTTTTGGTCCTAGGGATAGGGATTGAACCCATGGGTTCAATCCACTGACCTACATCCCCAAGCCCTTTTTAAATGCATTTTTATTTTGAGATAGGGTCACACTCAGTTGCTTAGGGCCTCTGTAAGTTGCTGAGTCTGGCCTCAAACTTGTGATCCTCCTGCTTCAGGCCCCTGAGCTGCTGCGATTAGAGGTGTGTGCCCCCAAACCTGGCTGACATTTTTAAATAGTTGGGAAGCTATTTTATGACTTGTGAAAATTCGACAAAATTCATATTTCAGTGTCCATAAATGATTCTAATGGGACAGCCATACTCTTGGTGTCCATGTGGCCTGTACCTGCTGTCTAGTGTTTTGATGCTTAACCGCTGAGCCACATCCCCAGCCCTATTTTGCATTTTATTTAGGGACAGGGTCTCACTGAGTCGCTTAGCACTTTGCTGTTGCTGAGGCTGGCTTTGAGCTTGCCATCCTCCCACCTCGGCCTCCCAAGCTGCTGGGGTTATAGGCAAGCATCACCGTGCCCAGCTGTCCAGTAGTTTTGAGAAACCAAAGGACCCACAGAGCCTAAAGCATTGGCCTTCTGGCCACACACAGAAGATGTTTTCTGACCCCCAGTTTGGAATAGTCACGTGTCTCTGATTTGGGGAGTTGTTTCTAACAGCCCTGTGAGCTGTTGGGGGACAGGCTGCTGCCTGAGGGCGACCTTGACATCTTGATGATCATCATCACTCCCTGAGCTAAGCGCTGCTCCCCTCTCCTCCTGCCCTTCCAAGATCCACCATAGCTCCTCCCAGAGTCTCAGGGGCGGGGACCATGGGCTGGAGTTACTTCTCACTGCATTGTTGCAGACAGCTTTGAAGCTGAGACCCCCTTGCCAGGTACAGGTGTTTAAATGCCATTGTTTCCTGCGGCTCGGGAGCACCACAGGATTTCAGCGCTGCAAGGTAGATTTGGGTTACAAAATGGGAGCATCATTAAGACGTGGCGGGGTGCAGCAGAGGAGAGGGCACCTGGCCCTGCTGTTCGGGGGGGGTGTCCGTAGAAGTCAGGTGGCCCCTTGCCCAGTGCAGCTCTGGTGTTGCTTCCCCTGCTCCCCCGCTGCCAGGCCCTGGACTGGGAACCAAGGGCCGCTGTCTGACCATAGCTGAGGCTCAGGCAAAGACAGTCGTCGAAGGTCATGACGCTCTGTGTGGTGGCCTTGAACTCAGCACAGGCTGGCCTCAGATACCGAGTTCTTGGTCACTCCAGTGGATCCCAGGGGAACCCTTATCAAGCAGTGGTCAGGGTGCCACAGCAAGGACAGGGGAGCCCTGGGTGTCTGGGGCACAGGTCGGTCCTGGGCTGCGGGCACCATGCCTCTGCGCCACACTGCCTGGGTCAGGAGCCCTCTAAATCCCAAAATGAGCTATAGCCATTAGGAGATTTAAAAGCAAACAAAACCACAGAGTGGAGGAGAGGGAGGATGGGGAGTCAGGCTCACCCCAGGTGGTTCTGGCTGGCTTTGACTTTGCCCAGGTCCTGCGATGTCCCGGCCCCATGGGCCTCCCAGCCAGCCTCCAGCAGCCACCATTCCCCCACAGCCCCAAGGGGGCCATTTATGTGATTTCTCCCAAGGGGCACACAGAGCTGTAGACCCAGGCTTGGCCCCAGCACCCCACTTCCCTCCCTGTGCAAGACCTGGGCTTGGCCCCAGCACCCCACTTTCCCTCCCTGTGCCTAGACCCGGGCTTGGCCCCAGCACCCCACTTTCCCTCCCTGTGCCTAGACCCGGGCTTGGCCCCAGCACCCCACTTTCCCTCCCTGTGCCTTGGCTTCTCATCACCCCGTCTCTCTCACATGGACCCTGTCCAGCCTCTGGTCTGGGCAGGAGTGGAGAAGCCAAGTGAACGCCTGGCCTGGATTCTGAGCGTGGAGGCGGAGACGGGGTCAGGCCTCTGGCTGGTTTACGGCCTTCCTCCCTGAGCCTCCGTTTCCCCTCCTGCAAACTGCAGGGCGCCAGGCGGGAGGCAGCCGGCTCTCTTCCCAGTCCTGTATGTTTCCTCTGCGGAACCACCACTCTGCTGCAGCACCTAGCTTCCCTGGTGCCCGGTGGCCTCAGGGCACAGGGTGGGGGGAAACTGAGGCACAGGAGCAGGGGGAGGCCCTTCACGTGCCCAGCCCCTCCCCTCCATGCCCCGACTTCTGTGACCATCGCCTCCCTGCCTCTGCCTGGCTGTGTCTGGGCAGCTCCCTCTCCCCCTCCCCTGTCCCAGATGTCCTGGTCTCCCTGCAGGACCCCAGCTGCAGTTCCCTGGAGGAGACCAAGGGAGGAGCAGGTCATTTGGGGGGCGTAGCTCACCTCCTCTCCCCTCTCCTCGGTTTCTTCAGCAGTGAAATGGGTACAATGCACAACTCCACGGAGTCCCAGGTAGAAGGACCGTGTGTGTAGAGGGCTGGGCTGGGCCTCGAGGGCACCAGGCCCCACCCACAGCACAGGCGGGTCCCCCCCAGGCAGCTTGGACCAGTGTCACGGTCCTCATCCCAGGCCAGGTCCCCTGGAAAAAGAAACCTGAGCCAAAGCCCCCCTCCCAGGTGGAGGCGGGAGATAAAGCGCAGGCCAGTTGCCCCCACCCATCTCTACTGCACTATCTCTAGCTCCATCTCCACCTGCCTTCCAGCCCGGGAACTTCAGGGGCTAATTATCCCAAATAAAATAGACAGAGGGAAAAGGACACTGTCCCCTCCCATGGGGGTCCAGTGGTATGCTGGGAAAGCCCCGCGCTAGACTTAAGAATGCTCCGTCAGACCCGGGTTCCTCCGTGGTCTTGCTGTGTGGCTTTGAACAGGCCCTTTCCATCTCTGGTCCTCTGCCTCACTGTGCACAGGAAGTGCTGGCAGAGGTCGCGGTGCCAAACCGCAGATCAAAGCTCCCTGTGCCCTGGGCGCGCTCTCACTGAGTCTGCAGCCTGGAGAGCAGTCAGTCTCTCACTGTGTCAACGAGGAAAACAAGTCACGGTGGGCCAGGACGCTGCAGAGTGAGGACCCCACCTCTTCCCCCACACCTCTGCAAGTCACAGGACCCCACCCAGAGGCCTGCCCCTTTCCCACGGAGAGCTGAGCCGCTGCAGGTGCCCCCAGGCCCTGCTCCAACAATAGCCAAGGTCCCTGGGCTGACCCAGCCCCTTATCAGGGCAGGGATCTCCCACCATCTGGCCTGCAGCTGCCCCCAGGTGGGCTCACCTTCCCAGCTCTGTTTCACAGAAACCCTACTCCCAGGGCTGTCCCTCCCCCAGCCTGGCCCTGGCCACCTGCACCCTCTTGGTCCTCGCCTTCCTCGGCAGAGACGGGAGGTGGTTTGTGGTGCCGTAGGTCTGAGCTGGCCACCGAGGACAGGACAAATGAGACTGAGCACCTGGAGCTCATGGGGCATTTCTCAGGCCTCCTGACTCTCCAGCCGTGGAGGAAAGCTGCTGGCTCAGGGCAGGAGCAGAGCCCAGGCCCCACTGGCACCATGCATGCCTGGGGCCCCTCCCGAACCCCGCTTGCTCCGCCGCAGCCCAGCTCTTCCCAGAAGCAGCCCTGTCCCCCCACTCACAGGTGGGGAAATGGGGCAAGGAGACGAAGGCCATGCACATCCTGAACACCACCCAGCTGCCTGTCCTGGGCTCCTGTGCTGCTTCGCCCCAGGGGCATGGGCCTCCACCCGTCCCAGGTCCCTGCCCTCCCCAGCAAGACTGGAACCCCTAATGGGCCGAGCCAAGTGTCCCTTGCCTGGCCATGACACTGCCTAAGTGTCTGTGGCCACTGTCCTCTTACCCTGAGGAAGGGACAGCATTTCAGGGATAAGAAATTCCCCTCGTCACCCATACGCCCTTTGCAAGGTCACAGGACAGGGCTGGGGAGCACGTTCCTCTCCGGCCATTTACAAATCACGTCCTTCCCATAGCCCCATCCTCCCGTAGCCCTGGCCGAGGCAGGCAGCAGGGACCTTCCCTAGTGTCCTTGTGTTTTCCTCCCCGCAGGTTTCTGGCACAGCCCTGAGTGTGAATTTGTGCGCCACTGCATCGCCAAGTCCCAGGAGCGGGTGGAAGGGAAGGTGCAGGTGTCCGTCTTCAAGGGCCAGGTGTACATCCTCGGCCGGGAGTCCCCACTGTCTCTCTACAATGAGGAGCTGGTGAGGTAGGTGCGCCCTCTCCGCCTCCTGTCCAGTGTCACATCTGACTGGCTTCCTCAGTAAATGTGTGCCAGAGCACTTGTCACATGCGTACCCAGAGCAGGTGAGGTGTCGTGGAGGACCACTACCTGGGTACCCACCTAACCATCCCCGGAATGTGGAATGAGAAAGATGGCAATGGATTGGGAGGCAGGACAGGGTGCCATGGCTGGTCTAAAACTGGGGTTGTGGAGATGCTGCCTGGATTGGAACCGCAGGAGTGAACCTGAGGGGGCGGTCCAGGGAGAGAGCTATGCAGACGTCCGGAGCCTGGCCGGGCACCTTGGCGCTCGCCTGCCATCCCAGCGGCTCTGGAGGCTGAGGTAGGAGGATCACAAGTTCAAAGCCAGCCTCAGCAACTTAGCAAGGCCCTGAGCAACTCAGTGAGACCCTGTCTCTAATATAAAAAGGGCTTGAATGTGGTTGAGTGCCCCTGGGTTCAATCCCTGATGCAAACAAAAAAAACCTCGTGAACAGACAGATTTGACAAGGTTAGGAGGTGGCTCTGAAAGTCCTTGGAAGTGGAGGGAGGTGGGAGGCCCGGGCGTCCTGGTTTGGGGGGCCAGGAGCAGCATGGGGGTAGCAATAGCCGAGTCCAGGGGATGTCCCTGAAGGCTCATGCATGTCGGCTGAGATGCCTTGGGCGCAGGTCTTCTGAGGCAGCCCGCAGAACCAGCTGGTCGGCCGAGGACACGTGGGTCTCACAAGGGGGGAAACTGGGCTGAAGCCTGGGAGCGCGGCAGGCCTGCTGGGCCACGAGGCGGCCGCCCAGAGGAGGGAGCCAACCTCAGAGCCTCAAGGAGCTTCCCCCAAGACCAGGCGGTGCAGGGAGCTGGGGGACCAGGGAGAGCCCAGTCTTATCCACTCCTGGGTTTGCAACAGCCTGGGGGCTCTGCCTTCCCTGGGGAGCCAGGTCACCTGGCCAAACCAGGGTGGGGAGCAACCCCTGAGGGCCAGGCAGCCCCACCTGGCATGGGCCCCCACCCCGGCCCAGCTCAGGCCCAGGCCAGCTCTTCCCTCCCGGAGGCCGGTTGGGAATTAAGGTACGAGTTTTGTTTAGCAGTCAATATTATTTTTTTCTTTCCCTTCTCCTTGCCATGTTGAGTTGCCCCCCCTTCAATCTTTCTAAACACTTTATAAGCCATAAATATAACCGAATCAGTTTAGATCAGTCGGGGTAAATGTCAAATTATCTTCTCTCTTTCTCTCTCTGGCTCTTTCTTCCCTCCCCCTCCCAATCAGCAGCCTCTAATAATCTGTCCAACCCTTCATTAAGCCTTACAGTCTCACTGAGGGAGATTAAATGAATAAAGTAAAAAGGGAAAGGGGGAAAAAAAGAGAAAAAAGCAGAAGCATTTATTCTCACTGTGTCTCCGACCATTTCCCTTTTCTTTTTGATTTCTACATCGCTGCCTTGAAAGCCCCTGAGTGACAGCCTCACGGGGACCAGCGAGGAAGCCGCGAGAGGTAGCAGAACTGGAAATGCCGCGGCACAGTGGGTAGAAAGTAACGTAATTATAGAGCAGGTCAGAGCCACTCGAATGAGCAAAAATAAAAGCACAGAGGTTTTCTGCAGACCGTCAGGGGAGGCGAAAAAAATCATTGTAAACTCTTTTTCCACCTCCCCCCACAACATACCCCAAACCACAATTTTAAAAAGAGGTTTTTCTTTCCCCAGAAACACCTCTTGAAACTCTTGTGGCCTCGTGGGACAAGTCTGTTCCCAGTGGGCTCCTCTTTGCAGGGGTTGTTGGAGCCATCTAGAAGGGCCCCACCTTGGATGGGGGTGGGAGAATTTGGAGATTTTGTGGTTGTTTGGTGCCAGGGATCGAACCCAGGGATGCTTTGCCACTGAGCCACATCCTCAGACCTTTTGATTTTTTTGTTTTGAGACAGGGTCTTACTGAGTTGCTGAGGTTGGCCTCAAACTTGCCATCCTCCTGCCTCAGCCTCCCAAGCTGGTGGGATTACAGGTGTGCACCACTGCACCTGGCAAGAATTTGTTTGGACTTGGGAGGGGCAGTAGTCGAGGACAGTGCGCCTTGTGGACAGGGAGGGGAAGGACTCTGCAACCCATCTTTCCCAGGCTGAGTCCTGGGTCCTTGCAAAGCGGGGGATATGAGGATGGGGATGAGGCTGGCTATCCAAAGCCTGTTCTGTGGTTTGGTGGTGGTGGTGGGGGGGTGTTTAGACATTCGTGTCCCCTCACACCACCCCAAGCAAGGTCTGCTAAAGCAATTTGAGGAGGCTGGTGGTCTGGTTTGGCCCAGCCTTTCCTTAGTGAGGGGTGTATGGAAGCCCAGCAGCTGCTCCCCTGCAGGAAGGGGGCCCTGGAGATGGAGGTGGGGTTAAGGGAGGAGCAGCATGGGGTGGCTTCTGGAGCATTCCATGTCCCTGCTGCAGGGCCTGGGAGGCAGGGCCCAAGCCCTGCACAAGATGCAGGGTCTGGGAGGGCAGAGCAGAGTTTGCTCCAGTGGAAAGTCCACAGTCCACCAAGAGCCAGCCAGAGCCACAGCTTCAGAACTGCAGAAAGTGACAGATTCCCTCCCTCTCCCCAAAGAGGGCTCCTGAGGGGACAGGCCACCTCCTTGTCACCAAGAACCTTGAGACTGAGGTCATCCTGAGGTTGGAGTTCTGCAAACATGAAGACAAGTGACTGATTCCGAGTGGGACGTGTCGGGGACCCCTTGCTCTCAGAAGCTCAGGGTGGCCTGGTAGAGTCGCCTGAGACCGTGGCGCCCCGAGTGCAGTTACTAATCAGGTGCTGGGCGATGGGTCTCTTGGACCCATGTCTGTGGTGGACGCCCAGCCTGGGCAAGGCAGTGTGCTCGACAAGTCCCAGCCATGGTGCCCTGTAGAGCTGGCTGTGTCGCTGTGAACGGCCACCACTGACTGCAGCCCCAGGAGCCTGTGTGAGGCTCCCCCGCGGTGGCAGCAGAGCCAGCCTGAGAACCCAGCCTGGCAGACGTGAAGGACTGCCATGGGGGTGGGGTCGGGGGAGAAGGCTGGAAGAGGAAGGCTGTCGGGTCTGGAGGGTGGCGCCGGCAGAGGCTGTCCTGCAGCCTGTGACCGGCACTGTTCAGGTGGTGGACGCCCAGGTTCCAGGGTGGGTTAGGGGGACTGGCTTGGGGACAAGCAAGGGAAACGGTGACTTTACTGAGATGCTGGTGCTGTAGCTGTTGGCATCCTTGCAGCTTGAGAGGGACCATCGGGCTGCTCTAGTCTGTGCCCCTTGGGGCCACTGAATGTCCTCAACTTTTCCTGGACCCTCTCTGAGCCGCCCACTGCCCTGGGGGCAGAGCTGGCTCGGAGGCCTCCTTGGTTTGCAGATGGCGCGCTCTGGCTTAGAGGAGGATTCCATGGGGTGGGTTCTGACTGAGTCCCCTCCCGAGACCTGGCAGCCCCCTGCCTGTCACTGTGCACCGGGAAGAGGCTACTGGGAGCCCTGTGGGACCTTGTGGCCCGTGCCAGCCCAGAATAGGGCTCCTGGAATTCCGTGAAAAGCCACAGTGTGGGAGCCGGGGGGACCCACAGAGGCCTGGGTGTTGACAGGGTGGAGCTCCCCGGGCCATCCTCTGATTGGGGACAAGGCCCCGTGGGCTGACAGGCGTCCACCTTCCTTGCAGCATGAACGTGCAGGGTGATTATGAGCCCCTGGATGCCACCGGCTTCATCAACATCAACTCCCTCAGGTGAGAAGCTCTGGGCCCTGCTGGGTCCTCAGAGTCCCCAGATGCCGGGGGAGGGGGGGACAGGCTCTGATGGGACCTTGACTCCCCTGATGGCTGCCCTGCCCTGGACAAACCTACCTTCTTGTCTGTGTGCCCACAGTAGCCCCCATGCCTGCTCCGCACCCAGCTACTCCCATCCTCAGTGGGGCCGAAGGCATCTGTGACAGCCAACAGCTGCAGCAGAGCCTGGCGTCCCGGTTCCTGGCTCCTGTCCTGTCCTGTGCCTCTGACACTCACCCTCGCCCCTCCAACCCCAGGACTCCTCTCCTGGGCAGGGTGGACAAGGAAATGGCTTAGCAGTACAAAGTAGCCATTATGTCACCGCCCTGGGCTGAAGGTCTAGTGGGAGACCCCCTAGCCATGCTCTCCACCACTCGGGTGATATATGTGGTCTGAAGTCCCTCAGACCCAGGTTCAAGTCCTGGCTTTGCAGTAGGGTCTCAGACCCCTTCCCAACCTCTGCGAGTCACAGTGTTAAACACTCCTGCTGACAGGTGCAGGGAAGGCTCCTTATGAGCTCAGGGGAATCAAGCACATGGCAACCCTGGCACACAGGAAGAGCCCAGTGCCCAGCAGCAGGTGCCCCCAGTCCAAGGCCAGTGTCCTCAAGGGCACATAGGGTCATTCATTACCAGCAGCTACTGCAGACTAAGCCCCCACCCCAGGCTCAGTCCTGGGTGCCTCACTTAATCCTTACCCAAATTTGCAATTCCCTGGAAACAGTCTCAGAGTGGTTAAGTAACTTGTCCTGGGTCACGCAGCTAGGAAGTAGAAGGCCTGCCTGTCCAGCTTTGGGGTCAGGAAGAAGGTTAGAGCAATGTGCCCGGGACAGAGCCACCCTTCTCCCCCAGAGTCAGTCTCTCTTCCCTGGAGTCACCTCAGCCACAGACTCCAGCAGGACCACCCTGCAGTCACCTCCCCCTCCCCCACCCTCTAGGCCCTCCTGTGTATTGGATGACTCTGTGAACCCTTTTAAATGGCCCAGCACACACCGGGATTTCATAATGGCCTCTTCCTTTCTCCCATTGCCAGTTAAACGCTTTGTCTTCAACAATGACAATCATGTTTTCCCCCTAAGATAAATTAATTACCTTAGCCTGATTGGAGGGCAGGAGGGGCCAGGATGGGAGAGTGGAGAGAAGAAAAAGACAACTTCTCAAACATCTTAACACACAGCTGCCCCCACGGGGTCCTGCCTGGACTAATTGAGCTGAGTGCCCTGTTGTTACTGTTGATTTACATTTTTCTTTGTTTTGAATCTGGTTTCCAGGCTGAAGGAATATCACCGGCTCCAGAGCAAGGTCACCGCCAAATAGAGCCAAATAGGCCTGCTGACAGGAGGAGCAGGGCCTCCTCACTCTGCCCTTGCCCAAGTACAGGCGCTAATTGTTGTGATCATTTGTAATTGTGACTTGTTCTCCCGGCCTGGCAGCCTCGGAGGGTTGCCCTGGGCCCCAGCTTTGTTCCCTGGTCCCTTGTAGCCTGAAAAAGTGGTCATTGAAGAGAAGGGTGGGGGTGGCTGCAGGGGGGGAGCTCTGAAATGACAAATAAAAAAAAGATATGTCTTTTGTTTCTTTATTTCTACCGAGGGGTGTGTGTGTGTGTGTGTGTGTGTGTGTGTGTGTGTGTAAAATCGTGCTTTCCTTACCCAACCTGTGTTTTCTGATTCAAGTGCTGCGTGGGGCCTCCATGTGCCAGAAAAGGTGTTTACTGGCAGAACGGACCCCTCTCTCCTCCAGCAAAAACTCCAGAAGTCCCAGTGCGGGGCAGACCCCAACCCAACAGCCTGGGAACTTGTCTCCAACAGTGACCCTGTGGCATGTGCCAGGGAAGCCATGGAGAGGTTCAATGACCTGCTTGGGAGCATGATGGGCACATAGCCATTTCCTAGGGTGCGCCTTTGCCCGAGACCCACAGGGAACCCCTGATATGGCATCCCCGACTGACCATATCCCACCTTCACCCCTCAGCAAAGTGGCTTATGATTGGCCTAGAGCAGCCTAAAATATGCAGTGAGAAGCAGGGCAGAGAGAAGGAAGGAGCTGGCACAGAATGGAGTGGGCGCCCTGCGGACGGTCCGCACCGTTCCCTGTGCAGCCAGTCCTGGGGCCTGTGCCATGACCCCGCCCCCTTGGCCGCATCTGATTGGGCTGTGGCTGGACACCTGACCTGGGCTGGGCCAATCAGAACCTCACTTCAAGATCCGGCCTGAGTGTTAATGGGTCCGGGTCGGGCGAGCTGGACGGCTGGCGACCCTGGGGAGCAGATAAGCACCTGGAAGAAGGGGGCTTGGTGTGTCAACCTCCCCAGCCACGGCCTCCTCCCCTTAAGTAAAACTCTTGTTTTAAGATCAGGTCATGCCCTACCAGGTGGCCCGGACCCTCCCGAAACGATGCAAGACTCCATCCCAACCCCTGTCCCCTGACATCCAAATGACCACAAAAAGCTCGGTGGGGACTGTCCAAAGGGTGATGAGCCAATTAAGGGGAAATTGTGACAAAAACAGGGGAGACCATAGCAAACCCACACAGGGGACTTGATTTCCCTGAAGTCAACTCTGAGCACCACGCCTCCCTCTCGTGGAGCTCCCGGCAGCTCCTATGCTGCAGTCAGAAGACGGGCTTGAGAGGGACCCCCAGTAAAACTGGGGCAGGAGGGGCCCGCCGTCCCCCTCCTCTCTGGGAGGTCCACTGTCTCCCTTGAGAGTGTCCCCTCTTCCCCTTTCCTATCCCTTCTGATGAACTCACGCCTGTTACTCTGGTCTGACCACAGAATCAAAGTTTGAAGGGGCTTTGTCACTGCTTTGGCCTCACAGAAGGCCTCTGCTTTGTCACAGCCCACGGCCAGCAACCTAGTCCCGTGGATCCAGGATCCTGGAAAAGCAGAGGGAGGAGGAGGGGAGAAGGAAGGCAGGGGAGAGGGGCAGGGGTTCAGGTGTCAGAGGAAAGCGAGGAGCCAGGAGAGGGAGCGAGGAGTGAAGGACAAGCTGGGCAGAGAGCCATCTCCCCATAGATGTAGGTTCTGGACTCTTAGGGGCAGGCTCAGGAGTCAGAGCCAGGCGGGTCCTAAAGCAGGCGGTTAAGGGTGGGGTTGGTGTGAGGGAGTAGTGAGGCCTTCTCAGAAATGCCGCTGTCACTTAAGATGGCCATCCAGATGCTCAGCAAGGAGCTTACAAGGTCCATCCTGGAACTTCATGGAACCTGGTGACTGATGAACCCAGCCTGATTCCCTCTGAAGAGTGGGAGCCGTCTCGTCACAAAGTCATGAAAAGCTGATTTCTGTTTTACTATAAGTGACCGCGATTTCTAAACTTGCTTGGAATGCCTGGCTTTCCCTGACCAGAGCAACCCTCTCTGATACCTCTGCGGCGCCTCATACATTCTGGTGTGGGATCTAAATTTACTCCCTACCTGGAAGTGTTGAACCATTTAGATCATTACCTACTCTCTGCCTTTGTATTATGCTTGTCAAATCCTGTTATCTGTAAGGTCTCAACACACACACACACACACACACACACACACACACACATACACACTTTGCAGCTTTTTGTGCTATAAAACTGTGCTCCTAGAGAGCTGGGGACTGTCCCCTAACCCAAGGATTTCAGGAGAGACAGTCCTGGCCAGAATTACAGGCTTGCTTTAATTTGATTTAAAATTGGAGTTAGTGATCTTTTCTTTGCGTCATGGTTTTACGGTGACATTTCTTTTCTTTTTTTTTTTT